TATAAAAAATATATTTTATAAATTAGACTACTTTATTAATATGCACATTGATTAAAGAAGGGATTTCGGTTAAAATAATTTTACAAAACAGATTTAAATGTGAATTAAAATAAAGTTGTTGTTTACTGCTATAACAGTCGAAAATTGAAAAGCAATCTTATAAACCTAGAAGTTGCTGACAATTGAAAAAAAATATGTTAAACCGCTGCTAATATACGCGGTTGAAAATTTACAATAAACATTTTACATGGTTGAACATGTTGTGTAGATAACACACATTATTTATTACGATTCCACATTGTAATATGAATTCCATATTAAAAGCGCATTAAATCGATATAAATATATATATATATATATATATATATATATATATATATATATATATATATTTATATCGATTTAATGCGATTTAATATATATATATATATATATATTTATATATATATATATATATTTATATATATATATATATATATATTTATATATATATATATATATATATATACGAGAATAATACGAAGCCAATAATATTCATATTTTTGTGAGAAACAGTCGCGGCTCATGAAAGTTGTGGCACGTAGAGGAATGCTATAATTTTATTAGCGGCGGCTCTCCGGGGTGCCGTGCGAGTTATAAACAATACCATTTCCCCACAAACTAAACGACTTATTTATACTTATTGAGTGTTCGAGAATTATTGCAAATTCACTTATTTGTAGCTCTGTGTTTGTTGCCTATTATATATGTTGATATTTCTGAAAATAAGCTAAAAATTATTTGCCTTTAGGCTGTAAGGTATTTTCAATGTTAGTCCTTACAAGTCTTGTTGTTTGATGTAGAACTTATATTGTTAACATTTTGATATATTTCAATGCGTAAGGAAATTTCCAAGTTAAACATTTTTCAACAGGACTAAGAATTCCAAGAAATATTACTGTGTTTACAATTCTTTACTAAAACATCGGTCAAATCTTGTCGAACCTACGCAGATTAGTTTTGTTTTCTCCTTCACCTGTAAAAATACAAAATGATTGCCTTTCAATGCCTTTATTAGCACATTGCATTGTATGTATTACGCATTTTGGCACGCACTTGTGGACAGTTGCCAAACGAAGCGACTGGGCCCACTTTATGGGAAAAACTATGGGGTGATGGGTAAATAAACACCGTGTAATGAGCGGGTGTATGGGCTCGACGATGGGATCATTACCGTAGTGAGTTCTATATGGTTATAGCCTTTATAGAGTAGATATTGCTGCGTGTGATACGCATCTAAAGCAATCGAAATAAAAATAGAACTGAAATAGATTATTTACGTTTGCGAAAACAGCCAATTTTGTATTACTTTTTGTAGGATATGTAAGAAAGGAGAAGGCGATTACAATTAAAATGTTATACATGTCTTAAAGGCGCCTATGTCAAATTGGTGATTGAATATGGTGACGCCGACGTACAATATTAGCGTTAAAGAAACTTAAACCTTTACATGTAAACTGCAATGTTTCGTACACAAAGAATGCCGTGACTTCCCATAGCTGTCAGCAACAACAAGCGGATTAAACGACGGCTGCGAAACCTGGCGCCATGACACCGTGGAGTTTATGGGACGGCTATGTGAAAGTGATTGGAGATCAAACTGTGATGTTATTTGCTTGGATATGGGTTTTTAGACTATTCTATGTACCTATCTTTATCTTTTTAAGTGTGTTATGGAAGCCAGGAGTTTACATGTTCTTGTAATGTATTATCAACAATAAAGTAATGTCACATACAATAAATATTTTAAAAGTAAGCTATAAAATCATAAATCAGTAGCTTCTCTCTACTCTTTGTTCACCCTCGTTGTTTACAAACAAGTCACGGCAACACGAACAAAACTAAACGAGGTAAACATACACATTCCGAAGTATTAATTAAGACTAACAAGAAAGAAAATAAACTAGCATGCATCCGAGCAATAATCCGCGCGATTACCTCTGCTCATGAGCAAAGCGAGCATAAACGCACGCTTTTTGAAAAAAGAATGCCTTCATCAAAGGATTAAAGTTCAGTGGAAGAATAAATTTTAATTTTTCACTCGACGTACTTTGGTTAGAGAGACGTTCCTAACGAGATAATAAATTGTCGAGATGCGATGTCATTACAGAACTATTTTAAGATAATTATGATGTTTTTGAATGAGGATTGATGTGGTGATTAATGGTTACATGATTATAAGTAACTTCATAGTGGACTGATTAAGAATTTCGAAGAATTATAGGAACGATTATCACCTAGAAATAAAGAAATTCTTTGAATAAGAAAGATACTTTTGCTCAGCAGTGGGCAGATAAAGACTGAAAATGAAATGCAACGCTATGGTACGAGAATCTTGTGCATTTAATAGAGGATAGTTAAAAGTAACGTGTCCATAGCACACGTGTGGCCGCCGCTAAAACGTGCACTAATTTTAACTCTGAAACGAAACAAAATAGAAAAAGTCACGCTTGCTTTTAGCGAGAGAGCTCCCCGTTACGGCATACGATACGGGGACGATACGACCACGATACGAAGAGAGCGAATTGTGGCCTCCACATTCCCCATTTTTACACTGAAATGGATTCTTCTGGCATGTGGAAGCTGGTGCATTGTTGCGTAGAGTATTCATAAAGTTTGGCTTTTGATGGAGAATTATGCATGAAACGCGTGGCTTTGTTTTAAATTACAATAATTCTGATTCGAGCGTCGGCGGGTGGGAGTAATGAGTGATTTGTTTGAAATTATATTTCATGATATGACGTAACGTATTTCTGTCTACAGTTACACGAATTATATGTACAATATCATTTGTTCCTTTTTTATTTAAATTCACAGAATTTATTTCGCGTGTTTATGAACCCTTGAGTTTTATAAGCGAGATAATATTAATTCAAATGCTTTTGAAAAGGTTTTCCCAGTAACCAACCAGACATTGTAATTAGATGGTTATGTAATCTTATTGTCCATTGATACTTGTATACAAAGGTAGTATCAAAATTATGAAATTCGAGTAAATATTGACCTTTAACTGAGAACACAATTGTCTAGAGATAGTCTTAACAAATAAGGATAAAACAACAACGAGTACTTTATCAGTGGTAGAACAAACAATCCTTCGAACTTGTTACAAACTTAGAAATTATTTGAAAGTTCTAAACAATGTGGTGTCGTGTGATATAAAACTAAGTATTGGACTCACTAATAGCTGGGAACGGACAGACAGACACTCGTGTACCGTGTTTTGTTAGTAGGAGATGGATAAACAAACTCACAAGCACCACGACATAATATTGACCTTTTATCATCGAGTTATACATACAGGTGGATTGTATAACGTGTCGAGCAACTACAACGTCAACAAATATGTTAAATTTAAAACATGTTTTTTTGTTCGGCCTCGCACAACGACTTTTCCCTCTGTCGTGAGCACTTTTTACATACACTCAGATCAGAAACAACTATTTGTAGAGGTGAAATAATTGTTCTGTGAGAGAATTGAAAGTTGTCAAATCACTGCGCCAACCGTGCATGCATTATCAACAAAACAACTAAATAGCGTTTAAGATGTAACTTTAGTAATAGAATTCCATCCTACATTGAACTAACTTCAACCCCAAATACATATGTACGTAGTTATCTCCTAAGAACGGATCTGTTGTCTGTGTAAAACTATTCATGTATTGGAAAACGCAATATACAGGGTGATATATTACGCAGGCAGCCGCCGTAATGCAACACAGGAGCGGCTTATTATTCACTACAATATTTTTATGACTGTATGTGTGTAATGGTATACTAAAATATGATTTATAAACACATTCCTATCAAATACTTATTTAAATTGATTTGTTTATTTATTGTTTTATTTAAATCAATGCCGCTATAATCACTAATTAATATATGCAAACATTACTAAATAACATTAAAATTATTAAATTTAAATTTCATTAAAATCATGTCATTTTTATAATCATAGTTATTATTTTGAAACTGAGACAATATGAATCTGTTAGCATAATGCGTAAGAAGTTACCGGGACATAAATTTAGGATTAAGAATATAGTGAAGATTATTTATATATAAAATATTTTTACGGCACTTAATATCTATGAAAGATTAAGTTTTTGTATTAGATAATACTACAAGCACTTTGAGTTCTCATTTATATTAAAATTAAAAAAGGTATTGAAATATCGAACATAAATTAATTGCACAGCTGGAGCGCATGAGCCGTGACATCGAAGTAATTACAGTCAACAGTTTTACTGGAATTTGTTGCGGCAGGGAACAGAGGGAACCCTTCTGTAACATATTTTAAATCGCCGCCTGCTTTTTGGTTTGATATTGGAGTAGAATTTAAAAAAATCCCGTATACCTCACCTGTATACAATAGATTCGAAATCCATCGAAAATTGCTTTCAGAGAAATGTATCTACAATAAAAAGTTCAGAACAAACTTTTGTCAATAAAGTTCTAAATAAAAGCAATATGAAAGTTATATCAAACGTGCTGAAAGTGATAATTATTTCATGTTGTTATTGTATCGAATCTGTACACATTCAATTTATTAATACGAATAATGTATTGTTCTTTTTGCACATTCCCAAGTAAATACCTACATTGAAAAGTATTAGAATAAGTATTGCTACTTTTATTATATAGGTACACAGTAGTGAATATGTACTCGTATTTCAGTATCCCCCAAAACCGAACGAGAATCCGAAATACATTAAATCCGAGTAAAATAGTTATAGCCAATTCGTAGCACATGCTACGCGGCTACGCCGCTACGTCGCTACGGTGCTACGTAACGTTACGATTTACCGACTCGCTGTCGAGTGAGGTATATTAAAATCATGAATATTGTTAGTCATATCAAATCTATAGCTTTATTATGCAAGTTTCTTCAGTTAATGTTAGCATGACGTAAGGAATGTGGCTTAGTAGTTTAAAACTTAAATCTGAACCGTATCCACGACTTAGGATATTCGAGTCTGAAAAGTTTTTAGGGGTACGAAGTTTAATACTAAATGCTTACGATCAAATAATATTTGGCGAATACTGAACGAAAACAAAACCCGGAAATAAATTCGTATTGTGAAAGATATATTTTTACTTCATTTAAAGAAAGTCATTGAAGTGCCCACTTCACAGCTGAATCCCTCTCGACAATGTCACACCAAGGTTAATGAACATCTCAAAACCAAGATGTAATACTTTTCCTCTCAACATTTTCAGTTTCAGTAATTTTTCATATTGAAACAAAAGCCTCTTTGAAACGGGGTCGAGTGTGCGCCATGAAATTCAGCCCACAATACTGTGGGGGTTGAATTCAGACTCTTTCATCCCCAAGTGTTTCAGTGAGTACATACTTTTTAATTGAATTCAATATTGTCAAACGGTCGAGTTATTGTTAGCGGGATGACATTATTTTAATTGGTAGGTGTTGGGGTTTGAATGGCCGCTCAATGGAAACCTGGAAGCTTGTTAGGCTTTGTTGGAAGGCTATACAGGTTTGAAGTATCAATTTGTTCAAATTGTAAAAAAGATACCGGACCGTGATTAGATACCGCACCGTGAATTAAAATAAACGTTATCGATATTTATTGAAACTTAGTTTTCAACCCGTGTAAATGGCTCTAATATTTAACATTATCACACACATGACGTGTTAGGAACATGCACGTAACCGCTGGCAGGTTGAGCTCGCAGACAGCATACCGGACCTAGCAGCCTGTACATACGGGCACACATACAAACAGACTAATATGTGTATCCAAAGCATGCCTACATTCTAGCCGAGAGGCTGCACGCCTGAAAACGCTCATCTCACATTTTATGAGCAAAATGTCTTACGAGTCCCTCGCTTAAACTTAGCACTACGGCTTAACATGCGCCATACATTATAACATCTCCGCGACAATACACTTTCTTAGACATTCCAGAATTCTCAAAGCTTTTAAAAACTTGAAAGTGTTGACTCAAAGTTGTGTCGGAGTACTGAAGCGGACTCATGTATTGGATTATTCAATATAACGTAGTACGCGTAAGCATTATAAATTCTCGCGGAGGGATGATTGAGACAGACGCAAACTTCCTCAGACACTCGCGGAGTTAACTCCTAACACGACCCGAATTTGCATTATCACTGAAAACAACGGATGCCGCTTTTGAATAATCATTATCATTTTCCGAACAATTAATTTTTTGGCGGCTTTATCGCTTCGCTAATGCCAGTAATTACTTCCAATTAATTTTGCTGTTAACACTATCACAACACTGCCCAAACCAATTCAATTTTCCGTTCGGCCTATGCGAGCGACGCTTTTATTTAATAAATAAAATTTTAACCTTCTCTCGATTTGTTCAAACATTGAATATTATTGTTTCAATTCCGATGTAAATAACACAGTAACGGATAAATATATGTGACCGAAATAAATGTGCGCAAACACGGATTTATCTTATGATCCACATCTACCTGTTCGGATTTTTTATGCCGCATTTAAGTATCGTCGCCGTACCTGTGAGAATCGTTCCTGAGCATCCAGGATTTCGATGAATAATGACAGCTTCTGATCCATAATAGGAAATCCATTGCGAGGCTGTTGCAGGAGGTGTCGCACCGCCTCGCGCACAGCTGCTGGCGTGCTCGGCGTGCATGGCGTGCCCAGCGTGGGGTACGGGCCCATCAAGGCAGACAGGCCGTGGAAGGTAGCCGACGTTTTTGGAGGGTTTTGTACACCACCAGGCAAAGATAAACGGCGCGACGTGGACGGCGGCACGGCGCCGTAACCGTTTGTCATAATCGCTGGTCTTTGTAACTGATAGTCACTTCGGGAGGACGGCAGTAAGGTCGCGCGCGGCAGCGTGGACATGGAGCCAGGCATGGGCCGCGGACGGCGCGGCACCGGCTGCAGCAGCGGCACCGGGCCCCACTCATCGTCCACCGAGCCTATGGAGTGTGGCCTCCGCGCCAAGTGATTCACTGGAGGTCTCGGGGAGACAACACTCTGAGGTCGTCGCGGACGCCGGTCGTTTTGAATCGGATTCGGCGGCGTGTATGGACTAAAGCCATCGAAGTCTTTAAGTTGTGCAGGCGTGGGTCTCTGCGTGTCAGGTGCAGGTGGTGGTGGGTCCTCCCAGCGAGGCCAGGCGAGCGCTAAAGAGTCGGGCTTGCGGGGCGGCGGTGGCCTGGGCCGAGCCGCCCCCTCGGTCATGGCGGCCTGTCCCGGCAGCGCGTCACATGGCGCGGCGTGCGTCGCGCGCGGCGTCCGCCGGTCGACTGGCGTCGCGACGCTGCATCCGTCCCGTCTCTGCATCGACGCACTCTATGTTTTGGTTTGTGGACGATTTTTTTCACGACACTCGTTTGTTTTGGACGTGCGTGAGTTACGTGTGTATTGGTATTTGTAACGAATTCGATGCTGAAGTTATTTATTGGTTTGGAAAACGCTCCGACACTGAAAAATCAGTAGGGAATAAAAATAGATGTGATTCAAAATATAGAAAACGATTGGTTTGAAAATAAACAAGTTAATTGTGTTAAATGCGTTCACTTGATTCTTTGGCGGCTAACTTGTTGTATAATAACGTTTATACATATTATATTGGTTTATTTTCATACAGAACGAGGAGAAGCTACTGCTCGTTGCTGAAAATTTAAATACTCTATTTTTGTGTATTTTTCAATAATAACTAAGCAACAACGTCTTTGGAATCGGAAACATAATGATGTTTACAAGTATGTCAACGATTGATTGTTGAAACTGTTTATAAGTATTGGTCAATATAAAGCTATTATATGATATTAAGATTTTTTCTGACTGTAAAATTTAGTATAACAATGACAGCCCGTGTCTCAACCCCCGGCTGCAGCGGCCGGTCCATAATGCCCGCAGCGGGGGCCATTCTGAAATATCGCCACATCCGCGCCCCGGCCGCGCCCGCTGCCTGTATCGCGCCGTACTAAACCTATGATTTACAGCTCCCGACACTATAGCAGTACCTGTGCACGCGCTATTGAAGGTCTCTGTAAAACGGTGTGTTTTCTACTGCTTGCAACAAAATCGATAAAATTACCAATTTCATAACACAATATGAACAAAAACACTTAATTATTCTCGACTAATGGACGTGAACACAACAATGGTATTTAATTGTAGTGCAAAATACAGAGACAGGACAACACAGTGTACCACAACATCAGCGTCTTAACTATATCGTTATAACGTTAAGCACAGACTCAGGGAATATGATAAATGGCTGGACTCGAGTGGATGCAACGAACTCCGCAGCTTATAATGCATCTCAAGTGCTGTTATTTCAGTGCACCAACCGATACTCATTTTTAAGGGTCGGTTTATAAATAGGTGGGCATTTAAAGGGTTATTTATAAAGCGTATTACACACGATCGGGAATCGATCGGCGGCATACTTACAATCTTGATGTGTGTGTTTCGAATTGTAATGGAGTTTGGAGTTGTATGAGGTTTGCCAAAGTTTTGTTTAAGGCGATGTTTATGGAATTATTATAGTGCTTCTTTGGCTGTAAATGTGACTGGCGAGTACTAAGATCCATGTTTGATAATCGGGTCGGAAAAGATAACAATATGGTTTTGTTCACAAAACCATATGAAATTCACCGGCGTATTTAATATAAAGAGATAAAGAGATAAAGATAAATTTATTCGCAAATATGGGTACAATACAGGTGATAGAGATACATTTTCGTGGTTCAGCCATACTTTGCCAGGAAGGCATGCAAATTTTAACACACACAGAATTTAAGTTTTATTAGAAAAATTATAAACAAATTAAATTAAACAGTTAAAAAGATTAAGTTAAATTAAAAAGATTAAGTTGTAATAGAGAAACAATAGACAAACTAAATTAAAAATTAATAATGACAACAGGCATCTTGGTAGTTACATACACAAGGATTTCAAAATTATTATTATCAATCCGATCTGATTACAATAACTCTACACAACAAAATCCTTCTCATGCAAAAAATCACTTATACTATAATATGTTTTATTCAACAGAAATTTTCGAATCGTCTTTTTAAATTTCAATATGGGCAATTCTTTCCAGTGTTTAGGTATTTTATTATAAATAACCGGCGCCATGCAGTAAACACTTTTGCGCATAAGTGCTGTTTTAGCTGTTTGTAGACACAGTAAACTATTGTTGCGCCTATTCCGTGGGAAGTTATCGGAAAGGAGTTGAAATTTAGTCGGGTTTGATTTGACAAATAACGCGACTTCTAGTATGTACAGACAGGGTAGGGGTAAAATGTTATATTTTTTGAAATATGGCAAGCAACTCTCAGTGGTTTGCAGTTTAAAGATAGCTCTTATACATATTTTTTGTGCTTTAAATGCTGTTTCTCTTCCCGAAGAGTTACCCCAAAAAATAATACCGTACCGTAGGTGCGATTCCACTAGGCCATAATAAGCCGTGAGAAGCGCATCTATATATACTACTGATGATAGTGTGTGCAAAGCGTATGCGGACTTACTAATTTTTTTACATAAAGAGTCAATGTGCGATTCCCAATTTAGGTTTTGATCTATTATGAGTCCCAGGAATTTAGTATTTACTACTTCTTCTATTATATTATTACCGTGCTGAATGTTAATATCAATGCTAGGAGTACGCTGTCTAAAATGTATAGCTTTCGTTTTAGACAAATTAATTTTTAAATTATTAGAGTCTAACCAGTTCACAATTTGTTCTAAACTATTATTAATGTCACTTCTATATGTTTCTATATTTTCACAAGGTATTGTTATTGTGCTATCGTCTGCAAACAATGTTACTGGTTGTTTAATACATTTCGGTAAGTCATTTATGTACAAAATAAATATGAAAGGGCCTAATACGCTCCCCTGCGGTACTCCAAATAAAACTTCACGTTCGGTGGACCTAAATATTTCTTCACGTTTATTATTTATGTTGATTTTATTGATTTCAGTTTTTTGTATTCTATTTTTTAGGTAAGATTCGAGAAGGTTTAGTACGTTGCCTCTAATGCCGTAGGCTTCCAATTTTGTTATTAAGGTAGGATAGTGTACATAATCGAACGCCTGGGTCATATCACAAAATATGCTACACACGGGATTTCGTTTGTCAACATTACTAAGGACATTGTATAAAAAGTCGTATATGGCCATATTAATTGTTTTATGTATTCGGAAGCCCTTTTGTTCTTCGCATAGTATGTTAAACTTTTCTATGAATTTATAGAGTTCATTATAGATGTATTTTTCGAATACTTTAGATAAAACGGGTATTAATGAAATAGGTCTATAATTTTCCATTAGTTCTCTATTTTCTTTTTTAAAGAGTGGTTTTACAATTGATATTTTAAGGGCGTCTGGATAGATACCCGTGCTGATTGAAAGATTTAGTATATAACTTAGGTGACTGCATATTTCCATTGATACACTTTTAAGTACATGGGTGGTAATGCAATCATACCCTACACTATTCGTATTTTTCAATGACATTATTATTTTATGAATGTCTTGTGGTACACTGGGAGCCATGAACATTGATTTACTATTTGTGTTAATTTTACAATATCATGTTATTGTTTACATACTTTATGAAAGTTTATGTAACATATACAAGGAAATTGGTTTATGGTTGCAAATTAAAATAACGCGGTACACCGTGAAGAAAACATATACAAACATAAATAATGAGAGCCAGTTCCTGGTATCATTACATCCAGGATTATAGCGAGGATATTATGTGGCGAAGAAGGTAAATACCAACAGCACAGGAACTGCCACTACATCAGGTTACATACGAGGAGATACACAAGCATTTAAAGCTACACGTAACTGTAATACCTTCATTGATTTTCGAACTTCATTACAAAGTCATAAGGTTGAGAATAGATTGTTTAACATTGATATAATAATAGGCTATCTTGATTTGCTGTTGTCTACACATGCGCTCGAGGAAATATTCTCCGAGATATCTCAACTTCAAATGAAGCAAAAAGTCTGTCTTCATTATTTTTCTGTAACGAAAACACGCGAAACGTTTGAAACAGAATATTTGAAGACGTTGCCTGTTAAAAGATTAAATTGTTGATTGTACGAAGTAGAAGTTATGTATATTATTGTAAATTGGTCTTCAAAGGGAAGCAGAGAGAAAATATTAAATGAAAACAAAAATAGGTAGATGGTACATTTTCAGAAAACCGAAGCCTCTGTAGCAACAAAATACAGTGACTCTACACAACTCTGAAGCCCAACACACAGTTGGCGAGGATTGACGTTGAGACCACATAACGTGCACTGCAATCACCCTGTAGATACACGAATAGAGTGTGGATCACCCTGTATCGTTAGCCCTCGCACGCTAACACGCTATGGCCGATTTCGTGACACTTGAATGGGATTTCTGTACACCTTCCGACATTGATGGTGCTCCTAACTACACGTTGAAGTTACGTCAGTTTCAAATAATTGTTTTTGGATTTTTTTTAGAGTAAAATAGCAGTGTTGACATTTAGAAAATGCCAAAAAAAGAATAAAGTCTGTATTTTCATCAAGAAAAGCTATAACGAACGTTATCAATATTGAAATTATCATTATTATTGCTTGGCAGTGACGTCCAAACGTAAAACCCACTACCATAACAATGAAACAGTGGAATGCTACTCAGTTACTCCTGTAAAACGCTTTATCTTTATTAGAATTTTAACTGAAAATCTTGAAAGTGTTATATTCCCGTTAAAAGTGTTTGTAAACATAGTCAGCAGGAGCAGGGACGTCACAGAGGTGATTTAAAATAAAATTACGATCGATCGTTCGAGGTTCATAACCCGAGCAGCGTTAGTTTATGGGATGTATAAATTAATGGCTGTAAAGTACATACTTTATGAGTTCTTTGAGCTTATGAAGCAATGGTGTTCAAACTGTTCGGTAATAAACAGTGATCAGGGAATTTACTACAAATTACATTTTACTTGTACTCGAGTAGGCTCGCAATTTCAGTAGCACCCTGAAAGCCTATTCGGGCTAAGCTCTATATTTTCATATATTTTATTAAACATCCCGGGGATAAACACAGCATCCATATCCCTTACCACGTCCTAAGTAAAAAAAGTCTCAAAGAAAATCCCTTTTTAATCCAGCCATAAACAAAATCAAGGGAGGAAAGGGATTCTCGAGATCAAAGGGCATCTAAGCAAAAATGC